GTGATGCTGGCTAAACTCATCCCCAGCGGCTGTTCATAAGATAGGAAGCTTATATCCTTGAGAATACAGAAGTCCCGGTTGTTACTTGGATACTTTTCATCCGAGCATTTGACACAGTCATTCATGTCTGGAAAAGAAGACATGTGGGCTTTATCACAGTAATTGTGTCAAAAACTGTAAGAAAAAGCTGAATATCCGTGAGGATTTGAAAATTGTATTGCCTTCCTGTGTAGATTGCTCTGTAACTATTTATCTTCATGGCCAACCAGAATATGGTTGAAAAATCATATGCTGAACTTGTTCAGTTTACCAGGTGTAATTGTTCTTCCTTTGACTCAATTTCAGCCTCCATCTCCATTCCGTATAAATTCCCCCCACCTCCGAGTTCCATTCCTCTTCATTGTCTTATCCCATCTTATTTACATTTGCTTTTAATTGTGTTAGAGATACTGCTGAATGGCACCCTTTCCATATTCAAGATTTTGCATCATGCATTCACAGGTCTATACACCCACTCTACTGTACTGATATAAGAGTACATTTCTTACCCTCTTGGTCTGAAATCTCCCCATCTGGACATGGGATGCAAGTGTAACAGCAAAATGGCGCCCCCTCCTTCACTTTCTTGCTTAAGCCAGGATTGCAACTCTCAGTACATACAGAAAGAGGATGGGCCTATTCCAAAAATGGGAAAATAGGGGAGGGGAGGGGAGAGGGAGCAACAACACCCTTGCAAATCAGAACTAGCAATACTAAAGTATTACTTTAGTAATTCTAAAAATACTCTTCCATTTACTAAACCTTTCACATGCTGTTGCTACTTAGCACATTCCATTTCAGGGCTACAGTTGTAGCCCCTATGTTAAAATAGAGTGGATAAAATTTTGCCACGAATATCATCCACTGTGGTGGAAGGAGCAAGTTCCACAGCTCACAGTAAGAAATTGCTCAACAAACTGCTCTGAAATAGACTGAACTGCCATGTCAACTGTGCCAAGACATTTTCCTTTTCCTTTGCCCTGCTATGTATAGGGGTATAAACTTGGGAACATGTACTCCAGGAATTCGACAGGCATTTCATGGGGCTTATACTAACATGGAGTTTACTTAGTAGTAACATTTCTCTGTTTAGAAAGCTAATCATTATTTTAGTTA